CACCAACTTTCATATCGCGAGAATAAAGTTGAGACGAATTACGACGACGTACGGTGACATACAGACACACTGTGCGACTGATAAATGGACTCTCATTATTTTTTTTTATACCACTGAGGTGGCGAACGAGCATAAAGCCCACCTGACGGTAAGCAGTTTTATTAAATCAATTTTGTTAAAATCTACAAAAGCAAACTTTCTTCCCAATGTTTTCAAATAAAAAGAGAATTTATATTAAAATTTCGATCTGAGACCTAATTTGACGCAATTTCAGGTAAAAACTACCTAAACACCTGATTTATATTATTAAACGCGAAAGTTAAAATAGAACCAAATCGGTTTTTAATAAACGGAGTTAAGGGATAATAAAAATAAAAGAACTCTTCACAGCTGCATTGGAAGATGTTTTCAAACTTTTGGACTGAAAAGGATATGGTATAAACATCAATGGCGAATACATCACTCACCTTCGATTTGCCGATAACATAGCAATTATGGCGGAATTCCTGGATGGTCTGAATAGTATGCTCAATGACCTCAATGGTGTTTCTCAACAGGTAGGTCTTAAGATGAACATGGACAAGACTAAGATCATATCTAACGTCCATGTCACACCTATACCGGTTACGATTGAGAACACTACGCTCGAAGTTGTCGATGAGTACCTGTATGAGTCGAGATATTTTTTTTTATACAACTTAGAATGGCAAACAAGCTGACGGCCCACCTGATGGAAAGTGGTAACCGTAGCCTATAGACATGAGCAGTACCATGGACATAACAGAGTATACTGTTTCGCCCATGATACCCTCCATGCGTTGCCATTCTTAAGGACTCAGGTGCTATTCCTCTGTACCCTGTAAATTCACGCCATATCACACCTTTCAAACCGAAACACAGCCATACAAACACAACTACTTCACGGTAGAAACACGAATGGGACAGATATAATATAGATAGAGACCTATATATTCGACCGAGAGGTCAACCGACAAATTCAACTCAGCTAGGCAGCGTTCAGGAAACCACGCACATCTTTTCATCCAAAATACCTCGGAATTTGAAGACGAAGGTCTTTAACCAGTGCGTGTTGCCAGTGATGACTTACGGAACCGAAACGTGGTCCACATGATTGCCCGTATGCAAAAGCTACTCAGCGGGCTATAGAGAGGGCTATGCTCGGAGTCCATCCATTCCATCGTACGGCTCGCCATCGACAGGGAGTTCATCCTCATGTCCTACAGCCTCAATGGTCGTATACTGCGCGGTTTCAGAGATGTTTCCTCCCACGAACACTCAGGTTGTGAAATGAGCTCCCTGCCGAGGTTTTCCCAAGAGACTACAGCATGGGGTTCTTCAAAAGGGGGTAAAGAGGTTTCTTCAGGGTCGGCAACGCACGCGTAATACCTCTGGTATTGCAGGTGTTCATAGGCTACGATAACCACTTACCATCAGGTGGGCTGTATGCTTGTTTGCCACCTTAGTGGTATAAAAAAAAAAGGTGGGCCGTCACCTTGTTTGCCATTCTAAGTTACATAAAAGAAAATCATCTGAAAAGACATTTACAGATTGGTCTCATAGAAATTTTGTCAAATTTTGGTTTTGACAAATGACCAATGACAAATTTTGGTTCAGTGTTTTAGTTTTAAAATATAGTGTAATATACTGGTATTTTTACACTAAAGTCTATTTTTTTTTTAAACACACTTTTAAATATACTAGTATAGTACAGAGAGTTAAATAAACGCAATTAGTCTTTTTTTTATTTGAAGTTATTTATGTCTGTGGCTTTATAAATTAATATTTGATAAAGAAACATGTTTTATTTCTTACTACAATTATAATTAAACAAAATAACTGCCAGCAAACTGAAACTATAAATAGAATCCAATTCAGCACGTGGGGGACAGAGGTTGAGTACTGAAGTGAATTTCACGTCGGCTCAACTTATAATAAGTCTCGTTTACCTATGCTTAATTAAAAATGAATAATTAAGCCGTACAGTTAAGTACGAGTATTTGACCTTGTTTCAATATTTTACGTTTATGCAATTAGGTAATACTAGTTATTTCTGCTGCTTTGCTCACGTGGATCAGCAGATCCTACGTTATCTTATATTCGCATATGGGGTCAGCTAAGCCGTTGCACGTCGACCCATCGGGATCTTTTGTGCTCCCCCCTGCCTTGTACCATCATTTCATAGATCCTATGTGTTACCTTAACGATATCCCGCGATTTAAGATGTTTGTAGTGTAGCAGATCCTAAAAAATATTGTTATAAATTAGAATTACAATTCATATATTTACTAAAATAAAGTAAATTATCCTACTACCTCTCACTTTAGTACTATTTTCCTGTGTTCTCTCTTCGTTTTCCTCCATCATTTTCTTTTTTCTTTTGTATGTGTGCTGTTATGTGTATGTTATGTATATATTTAATTGTGTATATATTATATATGTATATGTATGTATATATGTATGTATGTATATATGTTTGTATATGATAATATTTATATAATATTTAGTGCGCCACCTACCCTTTACTTTTTCTCAATGTCCTCTACCCAAAGGTTGTCTGCAAGAGATTGCTTAGCGATAAGGCCGCCTTTTGTATCACTTCTCATTACTGTATTTGTTATTTCTCTTTTTACTTGGTGCAATAATCCCCCAAGGGGAAGGCTTAAGTTCAGTAGTGCAGCAATGATGATGATGATGATGATGAAGATACAAAAAACAAAAATAATCTCATCAGAATTACACATTGCAATAATATTTTATTACAACACAAGGGGCGAACGAGCATGCGGCTCACCTGATGGTAAGTTACTACCGCCGCCCATGATCATCCACAACACCAACGGCATTGCAGGTGTGCTGCCGGTCTTTTAAACTCTCATATTTATTTTTTCTTAAGTCTCTTTCTAATATCTCTCAAGTACTCGTAAAGACACGGTATTTTATTACATTTTTATTATATTGTTCAGATTCTATAAATAATGAGAGACGGTTATTTGAAGCTTGACTTACTTCAGATCTGCAGTGTTGCAGCCTCCCAGATCGACTGGGAGGCTAAACCCCATGCATTGGTATTATCATCAAATACATGTAACCAAAGTTTAACGTCTATAATTGACTAACCTGCAAAGGTTAAGTAGTAAAAATTGCATCTAAATTTCATATAGTAGTTTTTGCGTAATATTGGTACAAACATACAGACAGATAAATAAAATATCTAAAAAATATATTTTTGATATCAATTACTATTGTTAAGATCTTTCACATATCAAATATGTATAATTATTATTATATTATGTATGTATACATATTATGTATGTATACATATTATGTATACATACATATAATAATAATAATTTAATAATATACTCTTATGTGTGAGGGGAGTTTTTATTAACTTACTATGTTTATCGTTTCCAACAATTGTTTCCACTTTATCCGGAAGTTTGCTTCAGAGTGAGTACGGTGCTTATGTCGTAGCATTATTGTCGGAGACGATAAAGATAGTAAATTCATAAAATTCTTGTCACACACGCACACACACGCACACGCACACACACACACACGCACACACACACACACACACACACACACACACACACGCACACACACGCACACACACACACACACACGCACACACACACACACACACACACACACACACACACACACACGCACGCACGCACGCACAGACACACACACACACACGCACGCACGCACGCACAGACATACACACACACACGTGTGTGTGTGTGTGTCTAAAAATGAACATAAGTTTTGAAAATAATACCCATTTTATATATTTATGTCTTTTTATGTATTGATTTATGTATGTATATATATACGATTAAATATGATATAATTAGTTCCGTGTAAATTTAAGATTGTCTAGTTCTTGTTTGTTTTGTACAATATTGTACACCGCTCTACCCGCTGGCATTGATGCTCCTTTCCACTTTGAGTTTGCTGGAAGACAACTCTTTTAGAGTTAAGTTCGCCTTTGTACATTTGTTTACCTCTTGTCCTATTTGTATGTATAATTAGTGTGTACATTAAAGTATAAATAAACAAATAGATTATTGTTCACCAAACGTAAGACTGTATGTCACACAAGCAGTTATGAGTATAACTCCCGTAACACAAAACCTTTTTACAGCTACCCTCATATGTTTCTTTTTTTTTCTCGAAGTTTCACATAAAAAAGTGAGGTTACATGAAACATTTGAGTGGTTACATAGCGTTTTATTTGAAAGACCCTTATTACTAAGTTTTGTCCGGGAACAAGTTCAAGTTATTTTGTAACATTTTGTTCCTTAATGAATAAAGAAAATGAATGAATGAATAAATATTTGTATGAAAGATTGTCTGCAAGAGATTGCTTTAGTGATATGATTGCATATTGTACCTTTATATATATATATATATATATATATATATATATATATATATATATATATATATATATATATATATATATATATATATATTTAATCTGTACTTAATGCTAATGTATTTAATTTGAATTAACTCTAATTGTATATATTTATGTTTCTGGTGTAATAAAGAGTTAAATAAATAACTAATAAATAAATATTTATTTGCAAGAAACATATTAAATTAATATCGACATATGTATACTAATAATAGGTACAAGTACAAATATTTCGCCATAATTAACCGTGCAAAATTTAAATACATAAAGAAAATATTGCGTGTTAATTAAATTTTAAAATCTAAAGACAACTATATACTGTAAATTTTTTTTAAAAAAAAAAGCATTTGTGATAAATTCTCAATAATTTCAGAATAACATTAGTGACAATCTAACCGATTCCTAATGTACTTTTAAAAGTTTGTGAACTTATTCAACTAAAGAATTCTCTTCGACTTCGAAAAAAATCAAATTTTTTTATACCCAGATTTTAAAATAGTAATCCGGACATATTCGTTAGTATCGTTCAATACTTCTGAGTTTTTTAACTCACCTGAGTCTATTCAGGACAAATTGTCTTCGACACTGGAGATTTTGCAATTATCTGAAAAAAAAAATTGCATAATTAAAAATAACATTCAAATTCATTATGTATAAATTATTATTATTAATTAATTAATTTTATATTAGTTAATTAGTTAATATTATTTAATTTAAAATATTAATTGTTATTAACTAATTTTAAATATTTATTATTATTTCAGCCGTTAAATGTCCATTGCTGAACATAAGCCTTCCCCGTAAAGGGAGTTTTGCCAACAGTTATCACGTTTGGCAAGCAGGTTGGCAACCGCAGTTAGGCTTACAGAGATGTTTTAAGAAGGACGCTACTGCCTATCTCTCGCCCTCTCTTAGTCGACTCTACAACACCCACGGGAAAGGAAAGGGTGACCTATTCTATGCCGGTACATGACATGACGATTTTAAATATTATTTATATAAATTATACACCAATTTCCTTTACGCATTTCCAACGTTCCCTTCCTTTTTTCCTCAATCCTTTCCACAATACCGTAGGTGGCGGAAACCACCAACAAATGCATTCCCAAAGAGGGTTGATGTCAGGCAGGTGGCCGGTCGTAAAACTAAAAACCAAATCTTTTTGTAATATGGATAAAATCATATTATGCCGACCCCAAATGATTGGAATAAGGGTAGGAAGATGATGATGATTATTTATATAAATTATATATATATATATATATATATATATATATATATATATATATATATATATATATATATATATATATATATATATATATATATATATATATATATATATATATATATATATATATATATATATATATATATATATATATATATATATATATTTAATAATTATAAACATTTCCTGTTTTTCGATATATTCTTTTATGTATGACTTGATATCCCAAACTAATTTTTAATACATATTGTTCTGTTATTCATCCCATGTAATGTAAAATTACAGAGGTTTTGGCGACTACGGAACAGGAAACGTAAAAATATATCAAATTATTGCTACTCATTCGAGCGCACGAAATATCTACGGTCGAGTTAACCAATAATTCAACTGTTTATATAGGCCAGTATTACATTTTACTACTGAATGACACAAGATTGTGTGCCCAATGGAAACGCTGAGTTCAAACGTTTTAAACCCAATTATTTCTATTTAAAAACTAATCTACTGCACTGATTCAACGCACGCGTAATACCTCTGGTATTACAGGTGTTCATAGGCTACGGTAACCACTTACCATAAGGTGGGCCGTATGCTTGTTTGCCACCTCAGTGGTATAAAAAAAAACTGATTTTAATAAAAATTCTATTAAGCTAGTCTGAAAGTATATCCTTTCAGATCAATAAAGGAACTTCCAAATCGATTTATAAATGACGGAGTTATGAGGTATATATAATAAAAATGTAACCGAATTGAACTCATTTCAAAAAAGCATAACCTATGCTTTTTTGAAATGAGTTGAAAAAAAAAACAGTGTCTTCAATTTCGTTCACGTAATTTTGCTTCGGAAAGAAGCATACATCGACTAATATGACTTCCTATCAATTAAAAAAATAATCAACAAAATCGGTCAAGAATTTACACAAAAAAGTACAAACAGATTCAATTTAAAAACTAGTAAAAACATTTGGAAATTAAATAAATTTAATTTTCTACGCATCTTAGAGTGTCAAACAAGGTAATGGCACATCTGTTGGTAAACAATAACCGGCGCCTACTGACATAAATAGCATCATGAGCATCACAGAATACACTGTGACGCCCACGTAACATTTCGCAAATTCCATTCCTGAGGACTAAGATGCTATACCTCTGTCTATAATTTCACCGCCACAACTGTACGCCTACATTTTAAACTGAAATGTAGATATTTAAGAAGAAACTGATTCATAGCAAAAACAGGAATGAGAGAAAGCTACCCGCGCAGATGTTTATTATATATATATATATATATATATATATATATATATATATATATATATATATATATATATATATATATATATATATGTGTGTGTGTGTGTACATACATGAAGGTATTAATTTTGTATGTATGTAATTACCACCACAGGAGGAGGCATTGTACAAAAGACGTTTACTTGGGCACCTCTGTCCCATTCAGGTTTCTACCATGAAGCAGTTGTGTTTGCATGGCTGTGTTATGGTACTACTCATGTCTATAGGCGACGGTTGCCACTTTCCATCAGGTGGGCCGTCAGCTTGTTTGCCATTCTATATTGTATAAAAAAAAATTTGCTTGGCTGTGTTTCGGTTTGAAGGGTGGGACATAGCAGTGAATTTACAAGGTACAGAGGAATAACACCTGAGTTCTCTGGAATGGTAACCTGTGGGAGGTATCATAGGCGAAACAGTATACTCTGTTATGCCCATGGTACTGCTTATGGTCTATAGGCGACGTTTACCACTTACCATCAGGTGGGCCATCAGCTTATTTGCCATTCTAAATTGCATTAAAAAAAGCTAAAACAAGTGAAAATTAAATGAAATTAATATTTTATTTCTCGTCACAATACTTTAGTAATTACCATTCTGATTGGAATCTTACGTACCTAGCAACTAAGCTACGAAGGATTCGCTTCACCTACTGTTACAAATATAATGAACTTTATAACTATAGCCATAGATCTCTTTTTCCAAACACGACACGTTATAATTTATAAATAAATTTACTAAGCCCCATAAATTAAACAGTTCAGAATGCATTCGACTTTACACGCAATGTTTTAGTTATTAACACCATAAGAGATTTATTTCGTTGTTAACTAACTTTCGCTGAAGGGTTAAAAGGGTCGTTTAGAGTCCATAAGTTAAAATTAACTACAGGGTAAGATTAATAAGTACTTGATAATGATCTTTTAAGATAATTCCGTCACACTTCCACCTTTGTCTAGAGACTATGTAATTTCGTTATATAACTAGTCAGACATAAACAGACGGCCAATAGGGGGAAAGGGATTGTTAGTAATGAGGATATAACAATACAGAGGATATAGACAATACAGAGGGTACAGAGGAATAACACCTGAGTCCTCAGGAATGGCAATGTATGGGGGGTATCATGGGCGTAACAGTATACTCTGTTATGTCTATAATACTGCTCATGTCTATAGGCGACGGTTACCACTTTCCATCAGGTGGGCCGTCAGCTTGTTTGCCATTCTAAGTGGTATAAAAATCGTAACCTTAAAGAAAAGAGCATATTCCTTTTTAAAAGCCCGGCAGTACACCTGCAATGCCGTTGGTGTTGTGGGTGATCATGGGCAGCGGTAGTCACTTACTATCAGGTGAGCCGCATGCTCGTTTGCCCCATGTGTGGAAAAATACCTCGACTCCCTGTCGAGGTATTTTTCCTCATTCCATAACCTGAACGTTCATGAGAGAAACATCTCTCAAATCGCGTTGTACGCGACCTTCTAAGCTCTAGGGTATGAGGGTGAAATCCCTGTCGATGGTCTATTGGCTAAACTTCAGACAAGCTACAAAGACAGCTTATGTTCAGCAGCTAACAGCTGATATGTTGATATATAAATAATTATATTCAGCTTAGAAAAATCTAGATCTAGACAATAAGTCAATAGCTTACCACAGAACCTTGGATTAAACCACACTGATTAAGTTACTAACTTGCCTTGAGAGTATAATATGCCTAACCTTACGACGTATGTTGACCGCATTGCGTGTTACTTAACTAGCAGTACAACTGTGTTTCTTTATTTATATAATTGTATAGGATAGATTTTTTTTTTCAGAAAATTTAAGATTATGGTGTACAAAAAAATACTGTCCACTAACCACCAAGACATAATCCATTCATTCATTTAAAAGTTAATAGTTAATGTCTTCTTTCCTCATAAACTTACTATGTCCATGTTTGTATATGTACGTATTTTGTATGTAAAGAGATATTTTATGTTTATGTATATATGTATATGTATTAATGTATACAGATATGTATTTATTTGTATTAATTGTATGAATTACTTATATATGTCAACATATTTATTATTTTTTAATAGAAACATCTATAATGTTTCCTTCTATTATTGTACGCATACTGTCCGCTAGTAATTAATGCACCTTTCCACTCAGGGTTTGCTGGAAGAGAACTCTTACAGAGTTAAGCTCGCCTGTTGTACATTTTTATTTTATATATATAATATGTTGTAATTTTTTGTGTACAATAGAGAACAAATAAGTGTCGCTTTTAACAGAAATTATGTTGATTGAAAACTTTAAAATGTTGCACTTCTTCATGGGCGATGGAAGCCGCTTTCCATCAGGTGGACTATCTGCTCGTTTGCCTCCCTAACAATAAACAAAGATGCGTACACTTCACAAAATGATGCGTACAATATACAAAATGTATGAAAAAAGGCGACATCATTAACTGGACTATTACATTTCACAAGCTATTTAGTCAGCCCTTAAGGTTATTGTGAATGGAGGAACAAGATGCCAACTGGGCTTCAAACGCCAACAACCCTACGGGAGGACGAGATCATTCGAGGGGAATTCATTGTCGCTAAGAATTCAGCGCTCTTTTATTCAAATGTCATATCTTTTTTGTCTTTGTGAAGAGACAAAGAGTTTTATATTCATGAACGAATTATTATGATAGTACCTATTATGTACGCGTTCATGGTGCAGTAGCGTGGAAACGAATTGGTCTAGAGGAAAGGTTTGTATAAAAGTGTTTTCAATGCATTAAAATTAAAACACTAATGTGTTAGTGAGAGGTTATGGGTCAGGATGAAGTTATATTAGTTAATTTTTAACTTTTATCATTGTTTACACATATTTTAATCAAGTGCTTAGGTACAGGTAAATAAACCTTTACATTCATCCCCTCCGTGAAAATATATAAAATATAAAGTTAGATTAGTTCCCCTTTCGTAATGAATTTGTCAGGAATCAACCGCGATGATTTCCACAGTGGACTACTTGGAGATCGGCCTGACAGAGTACTATAAATGTGGGGATTAACGTCCTGCCCAACCTTTGCGGTTCAAATGGAT